GGGGGGACATGGGGACATGGACCATGACACTTCACAGCACCATCATCCCTATTTTTTGACCACTTTTTCCTACTTTTCCCCCCTTTTTCCCTGGAAACAGATCGCCCAGACCATCCTGACCCGGGACTGCTCCCAGTCCTGCACGTGCCGTGGCCCAGGGGGGCTCCAGTGCCGCCCCTTCTCCTGCCCCCTGGGCCACACCTGTGACCTCTTGAATGGCACCCGGACCTGTGTCCCCCGCCCGGGGCGGTGCCTCCTGTCCTCCCCCACCCACTTTGTCACCTTCGATGGCCTCTCCGGGGCCACCCTGGCCACTGGCGTCTACGTGGTGGCCACCATGTGTGACCTCCGGGCCCCCACCTGGTTCCGGCTGCTGGGGGTCATTGGGGACATCGGGGACCACCCAGGGGTAGTGGGCCTTCACCTCTTCACCCACCAGGGGCTCATCACCGCCCACACGGACAGCAGGGTCTGGGTGAGTTGGGCCCAAAAGTGCCACTCCTGACCTTGGTTTTAACCAAAAATCTGGGTTTTTTCCTTTATTTCATGCTGGGAAAAAGTCCATGTGGGTTGTCCCATCCCACCACCACAAGATGTTCTGACCTTGATTTTGCCCCAGATTGCTCTTTTTTCCTCTGATTTCACGCCAGAGAAGCACCTACATGGGTTGTCCCTCACCATGCCTTGACCCACCTCATCATTTTGACTAAAATTGCTCTTTTTCCCCCCAATCGCTCTTTTTTCCCCCAATTTTGTGCCAGAGAGGCACCTATATGGGTTGCCCCTCATCCCACCCCCCCATGCCTTGATCCATCCCATCATTTTGCCTAAAACTGCTCTTTTTTTCCCTAATTGCTTTTCTCAATTGCATGCCAGGGAAGCAGCTCTGTGGGCGATGGTCACTATGACACATCCATAGACTGACCTACCCCATCATTTTGGCTAAAATTGCTCATTTCTTCCCAGTTTCATGAACCTACAGGTTGTCCCTCATCCCACCATGCCTTGACCCATCCCATCATTTTCCCCAAACTCCCTCTTTCCCACCCAGACTCCTCCAATCCCCACTCCCACATCCCAATACCCAAATCCCCCACAATTTGGCTTTTCCAGCTCAACGGAGTCCCCACCACCCTCCCCGCGGAGCTCTCGGGGAAGTTGAACATCACAGAGTCAGGCGGGACCCTCCGGATCAGGTGGATCCCAGGATTCCAGGTGGAACTGGGAGCCCAGGGGGTTGCCCTGGAGGTGACAGAGGACACTCGGGGGACCCTCTGTGGCCTCTGCGGGGACTACGACGGGGCCACAACCAATGACCTGCGGGGCCCGGACGGGACACTGACAGGGGACACGAGGGAGCTGGCACAGGCCTGGAGGGCTCCTGACTTCAGCCAGGTGGGGACACCTGGGGGGGCAAAGGGGGAGGGGCTTGTGGGGGTTGGAAGGAAAAAAGGGGAAAAGAGCGTGAAAAAGAGGGGGAAGAGCCCGCCCAGCAAGGAGAACGATGGAAAAAAAGTTGGAAAAGAGCTCAAAAAGGAGGGAAAGAGCCTAAAAAAGAGGGGAAAAGAGAAAAGAGGTGAAAGAGCCAAAAACAGGGGGAAAGAGCCCAAAAAGAGGGAGAAAGAGTCCAAAAAAGAAAGAGACCCCAAAAAAGGGGAAAGAGCCCCCCAAAAATGGGAGGGTAGCACAAAAACGGGGGGAAAGAGCCAAAAAAGGGGGAAAAGTGACCAAAAAAGGGGGAAAAGAGCCTCCCAAAGTGGGGGGGGACAGCCTTAGAAAACAGGGGAAAGTTCAAAAAAGCATGAAAATGACCAAAATAGAGGGAAACTGCCCCAAAGCTCCCCTGGATTTTTCCTTTTTTCCCTCCCAGTGATGCGGAAAATCGACTTTTCGCCGCTGCCATGACCCGAAACCGCCCCGGAGACGGAACAGCCGCGTTTCTATATCCCTCAAACCCGCCCTTCCCCTCCCCCCCCCAAAAAAGAAATAAAAGTTGGGGAGAAAACGCCGTTTGTGGGTGATTTGTGGGTGGAATTCCGGGAGTTCTGGGGAAAGCAGGAGCGTGGGAATGCGGGGGGGGTGTCCCGGGGCCGGGGGGGTCCCGCCCCGGGCGGTTCCGTGTGCCCCCTTCCCCCCCCGTGGGTCAATATTTCCCAAGGCCCGAGTCCCACGGGGGGGAGGGGCGGGGGGGGCACCCGGATGTGGGGGGGGGGGAGGGGGGTCCCGGACATCCGAGTGCCCCGGAGGGAGGGGGTGGCTGCACAGCTGGGGGGTCCCCTCCCCAGTGTCCCCAGTCCCTCCCAGTACACCCCAGCCTCCCGCCCCCCGTTTCCCCCAGTGTGCTCCTCAGTGTTCCCAGTTCACCCCAGTAATTACCCCCCAGTCTCTTCCAGGCATCCCCAGTTGATCCTGGTCCCCTCCAGTGTGCCCCCACTGTCCCCAGTCCCTCCTAGTGCATTCCAGTCCCCACCCCCCCATCCGCCACAGTGTTCCCAAATCCCTCCCTGTTTGTCTCAGTGCCCCCCAGGGTCCCTCCCCAGCCTTCCCAGTGTCCCCCAATATGCCCCAGTACCACTCAAGTGCCTCCCAATTCATCCCAGCCCCCCTCGGTGCCCCCCCACAGCCTCTCCCAGTCCATTCCAGTCCCCCCCAGTTGCGGTCTGGGCAAAGACGGAACTGCCCGGGGCCCTGGGAGGTGCCACCTGGGGGTGTCCTGTGTCATCCCCCCCCCCCAATGTCCCCAACCCTGTCCCCTCCCCGGGTATAAAGTGGCTCCAGTCACAGCAGTAGGACAGACTGGGACCATGAGAGTGCAGTGAGTGGGGGCACTGGGGGGGACATGGGGGACAGGGGGGGACATAGGGACATTGGGGGACATGGGGACATTGGGGGACATGGGGGGACATGGAGGGTCATGGGGGGACATGGGGAGACATGGGGACATGGGAGGTCATTGGGGTCATGGGGGGACATTGGGAGACATGGGAGGTCACTGGGGTCA